GAGATCAGTGGATGCATCGTGGGAATATCATCCGAAAGTTTGTATTGCCGCAGGCTTCGAGGACGAAGCCTAATTTAAGTGGGGGAGAATTGTAACATCCCAAGTTCGGAAGCAAGAAGTTAGAGGGTGCTAAGTGTAAATTAAGGAAGTTACTCGACGAGTAGGTATGCTACTCATTGAGTCGGAGCGGGATCTGATCAAGGGTTAAGTGGCCAACTCGCTGAGTCGGAAGATGTACTCGACGAGTTGGTGCTGGAATGAGAAAACCCTAATCCTGAGGGTTGCACCCTATTTAAAGGACTTTATGTCCTTCTCTCAGCCTCCTATTCCCCCAGAGAGTTCCAGAAACCCTAATTTCTGTGTGAGACTTCATTGTTGAGGAGATTGGAGATTGGAAGAGGAATTTGGTGGAAGGAGCTTGAGAAATTAGAGGCTAGCATCAAGGGGCTTGTGTAGATTTAGGATGTACATCAGTTTGGGCACATCTCAGAGGTAAGGAGCCATTATCTTAAGCTATTTCCTTTTTGGTTCATCCTTGGTGGTTGATTTGGAGTTCCTTAGCTTGTTTGAGATCTATTTCGGGTTTGGAGTTTAGATCTGAGGTTGCTACTCCAGATCTAGGCTTGTGATGGTCCGAATTGTCATAAAGCTTATGTTTAAGAGTTGTTGGTGAAGCCCCCTAGTTCTTAACCCTAAACCTAGTGTGTTTTGGACCTATATCTCCTTGGTTTCATGTAAAGTTTGCAACTTTATGTGAGGGTTAGACTGTTGAAGAGTGGATCTATGGATTGGAGCCCCTGCATCGCTCGAAAAAGCCACTGTATGGATTGAGAACTGGAGAGACTTGGCGAGTCACATAGGTGTACTCGACGAGTTGTATGAACATGTGCATGGACTCGGCGAGTTGGAAGAACAAATCGGCGAGTCTGTTGAAGATTTCCTTGGACTCGACGAGTGTGGTCGCAGAACCCCAACCTCTTTTGGTTAACGCTTTGGATTAGTGAGTCGGTTGGCGACTCAGTGAGTTGGACAGGATGGGATTTCGAGATTGTTGAACTAGACGAGTCTTGGGGCAACTGGCGAGTTGAGTCGAGTTATGGGAGTTTTCTGAGTATAAGAACTCGACGAGTCGATAGGTTGACTCGGTGAGTAGAGTCAACCAAGAAGGTTGACTTTGACTGAGGACTTTGACTTTGACCAAGAGTTGATCAGTTTGACTTCCAAGGGTATTTTGGTAATTTTGGTATATATGGAATCGGTTCTTTGGTAGTGTTTTGTGGTGAAGTTCGCGTCAGTGGTCGGAGCAGCTTTGTCTTATATCTTCAGTCGGTAATTGCAGGTGAGTTATCCTCACTATATCGACAGGGTCTACGACACCAAGGCCGGCCCTTTATCGGATGGAAATCTGGGTATTGTTTGTTATGTTATTGCTTTGCTAGATATGCATCCTGGTATTTAGGATGGTGTTATGTTGGTGACCTGGTTAAGGTCGGTACCCGGTATATAGGGTAATGTTATGTTAGCGACCTGGTTAAGGTCGGTACCCACTATATAGGGTAACGTTATGTTAGTGACCTAGTTAAGGTCGGTACCCGGTATATAAGGTAATGTTATGCTAGTGACCGGTTAGGTCGGAATCCTTGTTAGGATATTGATATGTTATGTGATATGTTATACTGTTTGTCTGGTTAAGGATTTGTTATGTGATTAACTGTTTTATGTGCACATGGTTGTTGGACGGGGGTTGGGTTGAGGCGGGTCCTGCTTTGTGCTGTACGCCAACATACCTAGGACGGACCGGATATTCCGAATTCCCAGCGAGCAGTCCGGATAGGCTGAAGGCCCCAAGAGGGCGAGCCAGACGTGCCGAGGCTCGGAGAGTGGACCAGGCCGACTGAAGGCCCGGTGTGGACAAACCAGTCATACTGTAGACTCAGAGAGTGGACCAGGTGGATTGAAGGTCCGGTGCGGGCGGACCAATGACACTGTAGACTTGATGTACATGGCTAGATTCGGAGGGTGGACCAGGTGGACTAAAGGCCCGGTGTGGACGGACCAGTCACACAGTAGACCTGATGTGCATGGTTGTTCTATTTGTGATATGTTATGAGTATGTTTATGTGTGGTTGGTATTTTGGGGGTAACTCACTAAGCTTTCGGGCCTACAGTTCAGTGTATTGTTTCAGGTACTTCTGGAAATTGTGGCAAGGCGAAGGTGTGATCGTACTGCTCCTCATGTTTTATGATTTATGTGAAATGGTTCTGGGGGATATTCTGATGTTTAAACTATTTTGAAAACAGGATGTATGAACTTAATGGTTTTTGAATGAATTAAAAGGTTTTAATATGGCTCAAATTTTATGGGTGTTACAATAACCAAGATAATAATCCAAAAAGGTCGGCCTTGGTGCCTTCGACCCTGTTAGTATAGTGAGGAAAACTCACCTCACAAGTAGTGCTGAACTGGTAATATCATTCCCAACTCAGAACTCCAACTCAACTGCCTACCATCACCAAGTAACTAACCTCATCAAAATCCCAAAATACCTGAAATACCCTCAAGGTCAAACTTGGTCAACCATGGTCAAATTCAAAGTCAAAGTCAACAGTCCATGTTGACCCAACTCGTCGAGTGCATCTACTGACTCGTCGAGTTCCTTCATATCTTAGAAAATCATGAAAAACTCGAGACAACTCGCCGAGTTAGTAGAGCAACTCGTCGAGTTCTTCAGTACCAGAAAGTGGGAAAACTCGACTTAACTCGTCGAGTTGGCTAAGCAACTCGTCGAGTTGTCCTAGTCTTAATACATTATGTCACTTTCCAAACGAGTCTAATGCCTCCAAACTATAGATCTGATCTCCTAGGGTTGAGATACCACATAAATTAAGCTGCAAACTTTACGTCTATGCATGACGTTAAGGGGCTAAAACACTAAAATCAAGCTTATTAAGGGACTTAGAGCATGAAGAAGGGCCAAGAGTTGATAAAGTTGGCGACTTTAAGTCGATGGAGGCCATGAGATGTCCATATCTGAAACCATGTCTTGATAACATGCACGAATCTAAGAATGGTCCCAAAATAAGCTAATATTAGCCATAAACTTTCAAAAGAAGAGATCTAGCAAAAGGATGATCAAGTTAACGACTTTATACCTCCAAATGGTTGCAACAACACTGAAAATCTCGGATCTAAAGCTTCTCCCTTAAACTTTGCACCACCAACTTCACACTCCTTCAAGAAAAGCACCAAAGAAGACTCTTTAAGCTCACACACTCAAAATGGGGAGAGGTGCGATTACGATTTTCTCTAGACTGAGGGGACGATGAGGGAGGGTAACAATGAGTCATAAGGTCTTTAAATAGGGTGCAAAACCCTGAAATTAGGGTTTCACGTTCAACCCTCAACTCGTCGAGTTGGGGCATTCCAACTCGTCGAGTAGACCTTAAAGATACGCGGCCATTAAATACTCTACACGACAAGTTGGAGCCTTCCAACTCGTCGAGTTGCCCAGAAAATGAATATATATATATATATATATATATATATATATATATATATATATATATATATAGGCTTAGGTTATTTTGTTTTTAGTAACTATTGTGTGCTAGAATGCACAGATCTGGACCAACGGATGAAATTAATCAATGTATATGATTTGAGGGTGTATGATATTACAATGGGATACCATGTACCATATAATCATACAAATTTTAGTAAAAGGGTATTTTGGACAATTAACTACATTTATAAAAGGAAATTTTCGGATATTTATGGACAATTAATTCTCCTAAATTTAAAAATCTGAATTTTTTTAATTAATTCAATTTTAATTGTAACGTAATTTGTATACATAACCGATTTTATTCTGCCAGAATATTTTTTTGTTAGAATGATGTTCTTTCAAAATTTAATCTATTAAAATATTATTGAAGAATAACAACATTCTTGAATCCGAGGTTAAAAAAATAACAATATTCTAATATATTCTTATACATCCGAACTTAAATACAAATTCATACATATTCTTACAGATTAAAAGCCTTATACATTTTAATATAAGTATACATATTCTAAAAGAATATCAACAAAAATGAATAAAATTCTAAAAAAATAACAACATTCTAAAATTGTGAGTATGATCAAACGTTATTCATTCTTCAAGTTATTCCTATTAGGTCTTCAACGCATTCTTCCAGTCATTCCTATCACAAATACAACAACTAATAATGGTTAAAAACATGTTACTTGCAATTAACTATCACTTTATATATTCTGGTAGAATAGATAGAGTATAATAGAATACATATATTTTATTGTGGCAGAATATATTCTGACATAATAGAATGTAATCCTAAAACTACAATGAAAGAGATGGGATTTTATAGACATTTCATCGAACATTTAGAGGACAAAAAAAATTATATAAAATCTCAAGAAATACATATATTAGCAAATAACTTCAACCATGTGATGTTGTTAGTTCATAAATTGCCACAACAAAGTAAAAGGAAATTCAAAGAATAAAATTAAATTGTATAAACAAAGAGGTAAGGTAGCAGTTAAAACCTATATAATGTGAATAAACTAAATTTACTATGGTTGATAAACAAACCAACTAGCTACAATTTCGAAATTCAAAAACAAATATTCATACTATTCATTTTTCAAACTTAGATTACAACTAAAAAATAAATAGTCGACAATGAAAAAGAACAATAAAATTAATAGCAAAAAAAGTTTATGAGTAGAATGGTGAAATTGAAGTCAAAGATAGAATATTGGAATGTAAAATTAACACTAGCAAGTTAGCATTAAAATCATTCCAAAAAAAAGTAACAGTAGAATGTTAGCACTAAATCATTCCAATTTCAAGCACAAGCGTTCCCAATATGTCAATGCCAACTAAAAGAAAGTAGAAAAATTTTACAAAAACATTTATTACCGCATCCAGCTAGAGGTTCTGGTTTTGCTTAATCTCATTTACGATAGTCCTATATCAGAACCATAAGTCGCCAAAATTGTCCATAATATTGTGGTAGCTATCCTTGCGTTCGGAACTGTCGGTTCTGATCAAAATCCGGTTGTTGGCGTTGATTGTAAACATGAGATGCCCTGAATGGTTAAAACCATGGATTAGTAAAGGATTTAGAAACAGGGATAATTCTGCCAATCTTTGTAACTTTCGAGGGCTGAAATTGTAAATGGAATCATCTTCTTCATTTAATCTGATAAAACACGTTGTTGACTTGTAAAAGTCAAAATCAAGTTTGCCATCGAATGAACACTGCCCAGCGTTCCGATGACATCCAAATTCTGAACGATTCGATGAGATTGTTCTGATTTCGAATCGTTTATGAATTTCAAAGCGATTTCAATTTTGAGATTCAAAAATTGATTGTGAGACGAAAAACCCGAGCCTTGAACACCAAACGCATATCTCCGATTTTGATTCGAAGGATTTTAAGTTTTGATTCCAAAACTCTGAATGTGAATCGGTTGTAACATACGAGCCTACATCACCGAATGCTTGCAAGCTCCGATTCCAATTTCAGTTTCGTTTTTGCTTCTGAATGATTACCGTTTTCAAATTCCGATTCCAGAACTTCCAAATCGATTTCAATATTGAGACCGAAACTCTTAACGATTTGATTAACCTGTGACTTCCGATTCTGAATCCTTCAACGTCGATTTCAAATAATCAATGGATTTCAAATATTGAGACTGAAACTCTTAACGATTTGATTAACCAATGCCTTCCGATTCTGAATCCTTCAACGTCGATTTCAAATAGTCAATGGATTTTACAGATGAGAAAAGAAGCAATAAAATCAATTTCAACAAATCAATTTTTGCGAAGAAAGAAATCGATTTCAACAACTGACAGAATCTAAAAAAATAAAATTTTGAGAAAAAAGAAAATCGATTTCATCGGTGGTAATGGAGAACTCACGACACTGATGGAGGCGGGAGGTGGAAGTATTGGTGGACAGTGACCGGCTGGTTGCGACATCACCGGTGAATGGTGGACGAATTCGATGCAATGGATGAATTCGGAGGCGGCTACAATTGTTGAGCAAGTCCTCCGAATTCATAACCAAACCTTCAAGGAACAACAGGTACCAAAATGAAAACCCGAAACTCTAACCCATAACCATACAAAATCCTCAAGGAACAACGAATACCAAAACGAAAACCACCCAACGAGACTAGCAGACAAACGATATTCCACAATAATCATAAATAAACAAGACAACAAGGAAGAAACATACTCGCAGCTGCATCCGGCACTGCTCTAACCTCCTCCGCTGCAAACTGAAAAGCACGACCCTAAGCCCTTGGGGGCTCCGCTCCACTCTGACCTCCACCCGTGATCCTCAACGTGGCCGGTGCTGGAGCCTGCACCGGTCCTGCAGCAAGCGGTGGACAGTTGACCCTCAAGTGTCCAACCTGATGACACTGATAACATATCCTCAAATCCCGAACCGGCACTGACTGCCGACAATCCCTCGCATAGTGCCCCTCCTTTCCGCACTTGCGGCATGTACTACCGGACCGACAAACTCCGGCGTGACCCCTCCCACCCTTTCCACAAATGTGGCTGCCCTGATCTCCCATCCTGGAATCAACGGTCTTAGACCGTTTCGTCGCCGGCTGTGACTGAACCGGAGCTTGCCTCAGCTCACGCAACTGCAACTCAATCTCTAACTCACGCCGCCTGGCGGCCTCCTGCAACTCCAACAAGGTCTCGCACCTCTGCGCGGACACAAACTGTCTGATATCCCTCTTTAGCATACTCAGATATCGGGAAATCTGAGCCTGCTCCGAAGCGAACTCAGGTAAACATCCTGGTGATTTCCGTCACCGACTCTGTATCCTGCTTCAGCTCAAGGAACTCCTGAGCCAACCTCTCCCTCTCGACCTGCGGAACATAATGAGTGTTGAACATCTCTCTGAACTGATCCCATGAAATCGCAGCCCTCTTCGCATCCGAGTATGACCCCGTGGTCAATCTCCACTAATCCTTTGCCCCGAGCCTTAACAGGTTCAGAGCACACCTCACCCTCTGATCAGCAGGGCATGAACACGTGAAGAAACACCCCTCCACGTCTGATAACCATCTCATAGAAACGATCGGATCCTAAACTCCATCAAAGGTGGGAGGCTTCGTATTATCGAAGTCCCGATACTGAAAACCTCTACTAGCTTCTCCCCCTGCCGCTGTTACAACCACTGTAGCCGCCGCGGCAGCCGTCTCCGTGAGAGCAGCATAACGCTCATCAAAATACTCCACCATGGCGGTCTTGATCGACCCAAACAGTTCCGGCAGCTCGGCCCGGAACAATGCAGCAACCTCATCATCCAGGATCTCACGAATCCTTGCATCCAACTCGTGCGTACTCATCTGACCGATAACCTCGGGCGGTACTGACCCGTCCGCAACTCCTTCTCCTGCACCTGATCCTGACCCGTATCCACTCCCAGCATGCCTCGAAATCTCCATACTGAAAATAAACCACAAAACCTCAGACACTTCCCACTATCCCGGGAACCAACTCTCAACCCAACCCTAGAGGTCATGGTTTCCCTGATACGCGTATGGGTCCTGTGCTTTCAGTAGTACGGGCCCATACTACCTTCCACACCTACCCATATTTGTATGAAGTACTACCACAACACCCTAGCGAAAACATACATAACAACGCTCTACCCTCACTAAAAGAGGAACACTGGAAATCTCAAGCAGAGGAAAACCCTAGGCTAGCAGGCATCACAAAACAGGCAACATTATCATGAAATCCTGAAGATTCCTAGCCTAACACTAGCATACTATTCTATCAAGCTCAATAAGACAAATACCATGAATGGTAATTTGGGGTTACTCACTGGCTCCGGCTGATCGTACCTCCGCGTCCTCCTTTTACTTAATTTGAAAACTATTTTAATTTCTCTTTTTAAAACCCTCCTCGATTTGAGACTGAGTCACACGAGTGTTCCTCCAATTCACTCAAACCAAGGCTCTGATACCAACTTGTAACGACCAAAAATTTCAACATAATTTAAACTTTTCAAAACAATCCATTTTAATAACATTATTACAAAAAGGTTTTCAATACATTATTTATCAGAGTATTCCCAGGTCCATTTCATAAAACATAAACGCGAGGAACGGTACGATCACGCCTTTGCCTTGCCACAGTCTCCTGAAGAACCTGAAAAACATTAAACCACAACTGTAAGCCCGAAAGTTAGTGAGATACCCCCAAAATACCAACCACATATACGCCCTTCCAGGCTACGACCTTCCGGTCCAAAACATATTGCCTTCCGGACCATAACATATTGCCTTCCGGCCCATAGCATAAAAGCATACATAACATAACAGAACATAGAACAGCCATGCATATCGGGTTTACTGTGTGACTGGTCCGCCGTATCGGGCCTTCAGTCCACCGGATCCACCCTCCGAGTCTAGTCATGTCCTTCGAGTCTACAGTGTGGTTGGTCCGCCCGCACCGGGCCTTCAACCCACCTGGTCCACTCTCTGAGTCTACAGTATGACTGGTCCGCCCGCATCGGGCCTTCAGTCGGCCTGGTCCACTCTCCGAGCCTCGGCACGTCTGGTCCGCCCTCGTGGGCCTACAGCCTATCCGGACCGCTCGCTGGGCCTTCGGAACAACCGGTCCGCCCTGGGTATCTTGGCCTACAGCACAAAGCAGGACCCGCCTCAACCCATCTCCAGTCCAAACAACCATGTGCACATAACATACAATCATATAACAGTCATAGTCAACAAACCGATCAAGCAGATCACATAACATATCATTACCTAACCAGGTTACCGACCTAACCGGTCACTAGCATAGCGTCACTCTACATATCGGGAAACCGACCTTAACCAGGTCTCTAGCATATACCATCCTAGCTACCAGGATGCAGACATATCAAACAATAACATAATAACCATATCCGAATCTCAATCCAAATAAATGGCCGTCCTTGGTGCCTTAGACCCTGTCGATATTGTGAGGATAACTCACCTCGCGAATGCCGATACTCTGAACGAAGAAGCAGACTCTCGAACCACCAACTCACCGCAAATCCCGAACTAACCAACATAACAAGCATAAGCATTAGGTCAAACATACTTCCACTTATCGGACCAAGACCAAAGTCCAATCTCACACAAAGTCCAACATTGGCCCAATTTACCAAATTGGGCCCACCTCACCAAATGGGCCTAGATCCAATATCCATAATATTAATTGGGCCCAAAATACTCTATTCATAATTTCCAGACTTGGCCCAAACACCAACAACCCACAATGGCCCAACTCAAAAGCCCAAAAGAAAGTCCACAGGAGGAGTACGCTGGGCGTACCTCCTTGGTACGCTGGGCGTACAACAATGATCGAAAGAAACGGGGCATGGCCCGCTACGCGGGGCGTACTCGAGGTTACGCGGGGTAACTGCGAGATCCATTAAGCCTCTTTAACACTTAATGGCTTAAGCTCTTAAGCCCAAACTTCAGATCCATAGGCAAATATGATTAGAATTCATAAAGTCTCAGACTTTATCACTTGGGACGTCCTTAAGCTCTTAATCCAAGGTCTTAATCCATTAAGACCTATATAACTCATACATGGAACAACTACAGCCCTTGGGACCTCATTTTTATCACTCAAGACCTCTCCAAAGGTCTGAAAGGACAGATAATCTTGACCAAATCGAACTATGCAACAAGATGAGACTTTTGGGACAAGAATGATAACAAAGCTTCAAAATACATAGATCTATGCATATGAAGGTCAAGCAAGAAGCTTTATACCTTAAACCAGCTCCAAAGGGTGGTATTTAGATCTACAAGCTCCACACGTTCTTCTTCTTCTTTGACAACTTCCCTTTTCTCCTTCAAGCCTTTCTTTTGCCAACAAGAGCTTTCCAAGGTCAAACACACCAAATATGGAGGAATACGAGATCTAGGGTTTCTCTGAGGTTGAAGATGAGCATAAGGAGGCTGAGGGGTGAACCAACATGTTCCTTATATAGTGGCTGACCCTAAAAATAGGGTTTGGGGTTTCTGAGAGTACGCTGGGCCTACCTCCCTGGTACGCTGGGCGTACTCACCCGGCTACCCGCAACCTTTCGTCCCATTACGCTGGGCGTATGTCCAGCTTACGCTGGGCGTACCTAGCCACCCTTCAAAATCACAAGCATGCATGCATGGGACCCTTTCCTTCTTATTCCACAAAGGACTATAAACAATGATCAACATCGAGGCACCACAACTCCTCCAATCTAAACCCACTCTCAAATAACTTTACATTCATACGAGGGTGACGAGAAGCCCAATACTTCCAACACATACACCCACCCGAAACCTTCTCGGATGAACTCATTTCTCGAAAGGGACCAGAATTACCTTTCTCTTAAATCTCAGGGAATCATAATTAAACACTTGAAGAACGGGGTGTTACAATTCTCCCCCACTTAAATTAGGCTTCGCCCTCGAAGCCTGCGACAACTGTACTCCGAAACTATCCCTGCAATGTTCCGCCTGGCACTCACCGGAATAGGCTATCCAAGAATCGACCATCGAAGTCCAAAACCCAACTTTACCTTTCTTGCCAATAGGAAGAAACAAGCTTCAACCCTAGATCAACTCTCACGAGTTCTCCACCGCAATCTCATACCCGCACCAATCTGGCTCTAGTGTCCTTGGGTTAAGAAAACCCCGATACACTGCTGACACTTCCAAACACCCTTCCGGAAGCATTTTTACCACATAAACAAATCTATCTGGGATTCCAAAATTCCATCCATGCATTCCTGCCAAGCCTCAGCAACCATCCAACCCGGATGTGCCCCATACCACTGCCGAAATCTCGCTGCTCAATGACCATAATTGGACCACTCCCATCGCAACCCTGCGTTGTTGCTTCCACTTCCATGGATTTACATTCCCTTAGCATGACCGCTAACCATGCGACATACATGCCCTGAACCTGCTCGCTAGGACTCTTGAGTCCATGCACCACCTCCACTACATTCCCTTGGTTGTTGTCCATGCCCTGAACCGCCAACCATGTGACAT